TAAACATGACCAGCCAATGTGCAATATGCACATGACCAACTAAGTGAAATCATGACAGCACATGGCCAGGGAAGTTCTTTGGAACCACGTCCGGTTGTATATTTGCAGTTGTACGGTCTGTGTTAATTTGTGTAAACTGGCTTTTGCTTTGCAAACACTGTCTATAAACTCTTGTGGAAACTTCTGGTTGTTCATCTACTTCTTATGCATATTTGCAGTTGTACGGTCTGTGTTAATTTTGGTAAACTGGCTTTTTGCTTCGCGAACACTGGCTGTAAACTCTTGCGGAAACTTCTGGTTGCTCATCCACTTCTTATACACATTTGCAGTTCTACGGTCTCTGTTAATTTTTGTAAACTGGCTTTTGCTTCGCGAACACTGGCTGTAAACTCTTGCGGAAACTTCTGTTAGTCTTGTTCCAGACAGTTTTGAACACCGAGATATGGTATCTATATGGGGATTTTTGTGTTTGATATGTGTATGTTGCTCAGCAATTTGCAGTTATATGTTCTTTTTTAATTTGCTTTAATAACCTTTAAAATAATATACCATTCATGATACTTATACGCGTTGTTGCATGCAGTAATTAGAAATATGTGTGATGTATTTTTAAACAGTTACCAAAAAATTCGCAATGATAAGGAATTGATTTCATCCAACAAGATTAAACTGGACAAATTTGTTTGTGCTGTTTGTACCTTGAGGATACATATTTAGTAGTGCTATAAGTACTGTTAAGAAAACTACTCTAGGTGAAAAAAGTATTGCACATATCAATTTCACACAGATTGTGCTTGTTTACTAATTATTAAATAACAGTATAATTATATGTTGTAGTAGTCTACTAATAACCTTCAATCTTTTATATTTATGTTATGTATGATATGTGTATGTTTCACAGCAGTATTTTTATGCGCTAAACTTGATAAAGTACGTGTCACCCCTCCCCCGCCCCCACCCGGCTCCTCTGATGCAACAATACCCTCTCAAAATCAAAGAGTTAGTACTGATATTTCTTTACTTTTGCTGGAACAACTTTTAGTTATTGATGTTCATGTTCATGTTGACTGTAGCAAAAACATGTTTATGTGTCTGTAAGAGCCTTTATTTATATATTTTATTGGCACACTTATTTACCTTAAAAATGACGTATAGTTTTATAAAATATGTCAAAAATTAATTAAACTGTATTTTAATTTGTGTATACATCTCCTCGATGAAAACTGTGAACGCAGAGGGACTCAATTCTTGCACAAGAACGGGAATCCCCGTTAACCTGTTTGGCCTATAAATAGAGAAGGCCGTGTTTGGAACACATACAGTTGCATGCATAACTGAAAAAAAAAAAAATTACATCGCCTGCAATTAAGGCTGAAAAGGTTTACGCTGTATCTTTCACTCGCTACTTTGAAGATGACAGTTAGGAATTCAATCTAGAACTTTTGATGTGAAGTTAGAACAATGTTAATTGATTTGGCTTTTTTTAGGGCGTATTTTTTGGTTATAATTTGGCTTAAAATTCGATTTTTCTATCTGGCAACCCTGTCCCATACATATTTGTCTCATGCTCGCTAATATGGCGGTACGTAAAAATCGTTATTCTATCGTTCACATTTTGAAAAATGTTTTTTTAAATCAGTTTGTTTATTTCTTTCATGGTGTAGAGTTTTTTCCATCAACAAAAACAGTTATCAATGATTCTAATAGTATGGTTTTTGGTATTTTACTTTAAGTTTAATTAGTTTAAGGTACTTTTTTTTTTTGTTAAATGGTGACAGCACTGACAGACAGTCTGAGACAGTAGCACACAATTTTTTATGAATTTTTTTTTTTTTAAATAATACCGACGCAGCTATCACTTATCACAGTTTGCATTCCACATGGATAGAGAAATGCAACGGTATCTTTTTCAAGCCTTTACATTAGTTTAAACCCAAATATTAATTTGAAAGCTTAATTATAAAAATAATTGGATTGAAGCAGAAGAAAATAAAAAGGCTCTCCGAACTTCGTCCCCGCGGCCAAACAAATCCGAACAGTGCCTCGGTCGTGAGTAAAATGCGGAGCGCCTGCCGAGAAATAAAATCGCGGCAAAATTAGGTCTAAACCAGATGGCAGGGACTCCAGAGCAAATAAATTAGCGGATGTTGCAGGAGCTTCGGTAGCTGCTGCTTGTAAGTCCCAGCCATATAGTTTAGCCCCCATCCTCTCGGCGCTGAGTTTAATAGGAAGAACACTATCGCTAACCAGCGTCGGAGCGAGTGGTCTCCCTGCCATATAGCTAATATCGTGTGTATTGTTGCGTTTCTTGAAATTGTCAATGGACAGTAATCCTAGTTTTGCCGTGATGTGTTCGTTGGAGGAAGTCCACATTTTAGACATGACTGAAGCCCTGTTAGGGTATTTGACAGTTTTGAGAAACGCAACAATACACACACTAATAGTGACATGGTGGGGGAGACCACACGCTCTGACGCAGATTAGCGATAGTGTTCTTCTGATTAAACTTCTCCGCCGAGCGTATCCACTGCGCCGTTATGTGTGGCGCGGATGGGTGGCTAAACTAGACGGCCCCCCATCCGAGCCGCAGCGCGCGGGATACTGTTGGCAGTGCGGCATAGTCGCAGAAACAGGTCTGCAATTAACATATCGCTTAGACCCTGTTAAAATATTTGTTTGCCCTCGATAATATTGGCCCGTTATTCTGTGGCAATCCTAGTTTTGCAGCAATTTGTTATTCGGCAAGCACTCCGCATTTTAAACACGACCGAGGCCCTGTTAGGGTATTTATTTGGCCGCCATAATATGGGGATGAAGTTCGGGGGAGAGCCAAAATTTCTAATCCAAGGATTCATACCTGTACCGAAGTGAAGTTTGGGCTGTCCTTTTTTTTAATTGACACCTCGTCACTCACATGTAAATTGCGGACTTCTTTCCGGCAAACATACCGCCATTGGCGAGAGTACCCCCCGCTAGATGGCTGGCTGAGACTTACAAGCAAGTAAAATGAGGAAGTTGCACGAGATGCGGTAGCTGCTGCCCATGAGTCCCATCCATCTAGTTGAGCCCCCCTACGCGCGGAGGAAACTCGGTGGCGAGGTTAACTCAGCGGTTTGTTGCATTTGACATCAGCTCTGGAAATGTATTATTCTTTTGCCGCGGTATAATCGCCAGAAAGAAGTCTGCAATTTACATGTGATTAAGGCCCTGTCATGGTTTTTTTTTTTTTTTTTGCCACCATAATATGAGGCTGTTATTCGGAGCATAGCCAAGTTATTTAAAGGTCTGCTTAGAAGGAAGGACAACATTGATTGCTCTACAAGCACAGTTACCGCCGGAGCATTTTATATATCAAATTACACATACAGGAACAACAAGTTGGTTATGGATTCTACTAGTTATATTGGAATATTGCAGTTAATCAGAGATTTTTGCCAAACATTTAAATATATGCATATCAGATTAAATCCATGACATGCTTTTTATTTTTTCACTGGGGTGAAGTATGTCTTTCACTGCTGTTTATCTTGATGACGAAGGAGCTAATAATAATTAATATTAGATACTTTACTACTTCTTCCTTTTGTCATCACTGAATCGCCGATACCAGACTAGCCCACTTTTCTGGGTTTTGTGTGTGTGTCTTCCGCTTCTCGGATGGCTTGGATGATGGATTTGTGCATCTTTTTACAGGTTTTAGCTACACCATTTCATTTATCAATCTTATTGGGGGGGGGGGGGGTGTCATCCTTTCGCCTTCTTCCCAGATCTTAGTTGGATATTCTGCTACTTAAGTCAAATTTTCCGAATTAAACCACCTTGGAAAATAAAATCCAGTGATAAATAATTCAGATCTGTATGTCAGTTTTAAACTAAGATATGCATTATTTAAGGTAACTAAAAAAGGAAAATACTAAACTAAGGCTCATTCAGATCATGTTTCCTCATACAATACTTTATATGCTACTTTTTAGTTTGTGACTAAACATCTTAGCAGCCAAAAAATACATCACTGTGTTCGTGGCAATGAAACCCAATGATTAAGGTATTGCTAAAATAGGATGTGCTGGACTGTAAGGCACACATATTACAGCCTAGCTGTTAGCCACAACACTACGTGTCAACCGTCTTTTTAAGGGCAAACACCGAAGAAGAAATGCAAGAAAGTATATTTTTTCAAATTTGAATATGTATGTAAAAGTATGGTGATGTTAATTGGTAAATTATATACACTTTATAGCAGCGGAGGTAAATATCACAGCTTTGATCTCATTCTGACATTTGTTGTTAAAGTACAGTTAGGAAATGCAGCTAAGCTATGAAAATACTAGTTATTTAAAAAATTAGCCAGTGAGGCCTAGAGCCAGTAATCTGACTAGTTCTACTTTTTTACTTTGGTTGATTTTTGAATTCTCATAAGTACTTTGTCAAATTTTCATATCATTTTTTACTTATAAAACCATTACACATTAAAAAGCTGTTTTCAACCGTGCCTAATTCATGCATGTGTGTCAATTCTAAGCTGAATTATTTAAGCTTTTGTAGACAAAGTAAATAAAGTAGAAAAAGTAAAAGTGAGGTAAAACATGCTGCCCAGACATTACAAGTCTATATATATATATATATATATATATATATATATATATATATATATATATATATATATATATATATATATATATATATATATATATATATATATATATATATATATATATGTGTGTGACAATTATTTTTGTCTTTTGCAGCCTGATAAAACAGTTAAAGGTCATATTGTGGTATTATACACAGACACAGGGTCTTGCTAAGTCCAAAATTGAAAATGGTTGTTGATATTTGACCAGATAAAAATTGTGTAAAATCAGTTTATTCTACACAACTTCAAAATAATAATGGTCTATTTATTTTTTTTGGGGTAAAATATAATAGAACAAGAAAAAAGGCTTACTAAGTATCTGAAATTTAAAGCTTTTGTGTAATACTGAATAACTGTTAAAAAAATGGCCGCTGGTTATTAAAAAACCCATTAATAATTCGCTCTATTATATAATGTCCAAATCATTTTTTTCAGCCTGATAGAACAATCAGTAGGTCATATGATAATATTGAAGACATGCTCTCACATTAATATTCGGTATAGTGGCTAATTTATTAATTTTTTTGATGATTTCTTTTTTAAATGACTTAAACTACAATTTAAAAAAAAAATAAGTGATGTGTTAACAGAACAATCAAAATAACCATTTATATATGTATTGACAAGCATACAAACAAACCATAATAATTATAAATTATAACTAATCTTTTTTTTTCCGTCCATGTCTGAAAGTTTACTTCTATCCTGCATGTATCATAACTGGACAATGTGCTTTAGAAAATAATTACACATTGCCAAAAGTCAGTGTTGCATTACATTTTTATTACTTTAACACTAACAGTTCTGAATTATTTTTTCAGTGCTAATTTAACTCTTGAGTCCCATGGAACGCATCATACGTTTATATGTTACTGCCTAGATCCCCAGTGAACGCATAATGCGCCGATTTTATGTCTCTCTTGACAACCCTTGGGCCTGTGATGCTAAACCCTCTGGGACTCAAATAATTAAGTTTTCTTTTGTTTTGTTTATTACATTTATTTTAACAAAATGTCAAATCTCCAGTGGCGAAGTCTGCAATAAACTGTTTCATCGTCAAGACGAAGGAGGTATCTGCTGCTTGTGTCAGGAATAAAGTTCGATTTCTGTGTTGAGAGGAATTTTCTTCCTGTCCACATTTATTATCTCCATGTACACAGTCATTTTCTCCATCATTCAAGATGTGTTGCAGTGACACACCTGAGAGGGCATTAGTGTCACTCAAAAAAGTCTACATTGCGTTACTTCACTGCATAAAGTTGTTAAATAAGCTTGAATAATTAACCAAAAGTACTACAATTTACGACAAATTCAATTGTGTAAATGCATATTTAAATTCTTCATCCATTGTAGTATTTACATTCAATTTTTCATCATTTTAAACGAACGAACAAACTTTTTTTTCGATGGGTTACAAATTAGGCACACAGGCCCATCTGACATTAAACACGATGCCAAGCCTGTTATTTAACAAATGGTAACTGAAGAGGGCAATATTTTTTATCCGTGTCATTACATGAAATTTGTAATTTTCACATTGCTAGAGTGTAATTTTAGAATTACATATGAAAAGCTTAGAGTTAAAGATTAATGATGACATTTTCCAGATATATGTTAAAATAAATGCCAAATGTAACTTTAACTTTACTGAAATTAGGAATGAAGCCTAACTTGAAAAAACATTATTTAAAGGTCAGGTAACCTCATAGAATGTCAAAATATCAAACAAATTCACCTAGCACATGCACAAAATTACTGCCGAAGCGCTTTATACATTTAAATAAGAAATAAGAGAAAACAAATTAATTGTCCCTTCTGCTTATATTGTGATGTTTTAATAATCACAGATTTCTATTAAACATGTAAAAGTCAGAAGTATCACTTTTCGGGACACACTTTTTGGTTGTTTTATTTGACATCACGACACCTCTATCTTCAAATACCTATTAATGTTAAGGCCAAATGCGGGTGTTCAGAACAGTAAATTTTGGTGAGGTGGAATTGTTTTTTGAAAAATTTGTTTTTGCAAGCCTTAGTATGTCTTCTTTCTGATTCATATTTGTTTTTGTCAAAAATGTTATTTTAAGGCAATGTTAATATTTTACTGAGCTATCTCTAGCTGTAAAATTGTTTATTGAAATTTGTTACAAAATGCAACATTATTTGAGCAAGGAGATAACTGTATTATATACATTTGTAATCGTAATTATGACCCCTGCATTATTCTGTGCATCTTGTAATTGTGGAATTTCAAGTTTTCATTCACGTCTGACTCATTGGCCTGTATAAAAATCCAGAAACTTCTATATATGGGTGTAAACACGATCTCATTCATCGCACTGGCTGAAACCGATCACATAGGTGTCCAATTGTCAAAATGACCTCTGTGGTCGATTGTTTACATGGAGACAGCAAGACTGCCATGCATCGAAATATGCCTTGTTCCAAGAAATATAAACTCCAATCAACATAAGAAATCTTGAAGTCTATAGTTGGCAAAGGAAGGTCTACTGGAGCGTCGTTAACATTACACAAAAATTGAAGTATTTCAGCAAGTTCATGCACAGCAGTCGGGCGTCACTCTACATGACAATGATTGCTGGACATTACTGTCAGCTTTGATGGCACTTGGCTGACGAGAGGATACATTGGGTTTGACTGTGCAGTGGATGCCCTTACAGGACTTTTTGCCATGCATGCCTTGTTCCAATCCACATAAGAAATCTTGAAGTCTATAGTTGGCGTCTACTGGAGCGTCGTTAACATTACACAAAAATTGAAGTATTTCAGCAAGTTCATGCACAGCAGTCGGGCGTCACTCTACATGACAATGATTGCTGGACATTACTGTCAGCTTTGATGGCACTTGGCTGACGAGAGGTCCCACATCTTACATTGGGTTTGACTGTGCAGTGGATGCCCTTACAGGACTTTTCTGGTTTAGGTTTAAATGACAGATCAATATCATGGCACAAGTGCTCCATTGTACTTCTGACTCGAGCCTGAGTTTGAAGAATCTCAGCACAGCTTACAAACTCTGTAGCATAGGCGAGGATCCTGAAAATACTTTTGGTAGATTTTTAACTCCTAAATTTTGCCCGGACAGTGCCGTAAGGCCACTCTTTTTGATTTCCAACTGCTAAGGGATTTTTACGTGCGCAACAATACACACAGATGACTTATCTTACTCCCCAGAAACCAGGGGAAATTACTAGAAGTCCACGTGAAAAAATCCCAACCTGAACCTAGGCCCTCCAGCATTGAGGCGGGCACAAAACTCCCTAATGAGATGTGGTTTTTCTTGCTCAAGTTTTGAGGATATTATTTTGGTGTGGGACTGCATTGATTTGTTATTTTATTTGAATCTCTGTGATCATTATTATGTCTGGCGTGCAGTAAAATATTGTGTTATGACATTGCGCGTCATCATTTTGCGCAAAATATTTTTTGTTTGTTGATATTGCCTAGCAAAGTGATCGAAATGATCATTGAGATATTCTGTTGGATTTTTTAACCTATTTCCAGCAGTAAAAATTAAAAACCCAATATATAAAACTTGGCTGCCATCACAAAAAGTTTAGAAATCAGTTCAAGGTGGCCTGCTACCAAAGAGTTAAAGAAGTTTAAAAAAAATATATTAACACTAAAAAAAAAACATTTCATACACCTGCACATTTATTGCTAAACAGTGGTTCAATTCATTTTTTTAAATTTAAGTACTTATAAATTCATTTTTAGATATGTAAATACTCCCCTTGCCTCCCTTCCTGCCACCAACAGGTAGGTTACCTACTAGATACACAATACTAAAAGAGGTGTTGTTGACGTTACTGTAATATTTCAAACATATAATGCGGTTTATCGCACCCATATGGCAGAGTGACGAATGATCCTGTGCAATATTGGCATTGTGCACAGACATGCCTTCTAATTATAATCTGCCAGTTGGCAGAAATATAGCTACTGATTTGATTTGATTCAAGAACCGACATCACAGCACTTGGGGCATTCCCATAAGCGCTCCGTCCCCATCTTCAGCAGCCAGCGAAGAGTTCCGATACTAATGGTGCCAGTAGCTTTCTGATTAAACGTCCGTCTTGCCTTTCCTCTGAGCCTCGAGCATCTGCCAGAACCTCTCATCACCCCCAACTGCATCAATCTCACCAGACTGGTGATCCATCTGCTCCTCCAAATTGTACACGCTCTCCCACAAGGCACTAACCACGTCTGCCCTATCATGTAGCAGTATTCCACCAAGTTGTGCAGAGCCAGCCAGTGTGTCCGCCTGTTAATTTCGCAACACACCGGTGCTCCCTGGTGAAAAAATCCAGATAATACTTCTCACTTGTGTCCTCCGCAGCAAAGCATGCCACTCTGCACAAAGCATACCTGTTCTTATCTTCCTCAGCATGCTTTCTGAATCAGTTACAATCACGATGTGTGTGTGTGTGTCGTGTTCTCTAGCCAGCAGAAAGCTGCAGTGACCGCCTCCACCCCCATTCTTAAGCTGGATGTTGTGGTATCATATGCTAGGCTCTCCTGAACCAAACATCGACCATTAACTTTTGCTAAGAAGCCCAAAGCACTTCTTTTGCCTCTTGACACTGAACCGTCTGTAAATGATCAAATCCTCTGAGTGAGCATTATTTTGAATTAATTGCTGAATTTCCACCTCTGTGGCACTTGCCAGTCTCTGCATTCCTGGTTCAGCGTGATTATGACTTTACACAAGTCTGACTGCTCAGGTAGTCTTTTGAACCACTCCTCTCCTCGTCTAATGTTCTCAAGGATGCAAACCTCTCTGACTGTCTTCTGCCCAAGCCATCCATGACCTCCTTCTTATCAGCCGCTGACCCTTAACTGCACCCAGAGCTTCATACAGAGGATGGTCTGTGTCTGCAGCTACCCTGAGATATGACTTCGCCTGAAGCACTTTGTGCCTACCTGCAACAGTCGGCAAACCAAGGATGTATGGCATACACACCCCTAGGGTGTCTCTGGTGCAACCCAGAATGACCCGCATAGCTGCGTTCTGTATGCTCTCTAGTTTGTCCATCTGACTCTTTGAGACGGTAAGCAGTTCCAGGTCATAATCCACCACTGACAGGATCAGGTGCTGATATAGTGTGAAAAGCATTCTCTGTTCTATGTCAATTGCTGCCATAGTCTTAAGTGCACTAAGTCCTTTTTTTGACATCTCGTCACAAAACTCTCCACATGGTCCTTAACTCTTTGAGTCCCAGGATTAATCAAGTAACAGAAAGTATTGTGAACGGCACTCATAGAAAGAAGTAGAAAGATAGAAGAACACACTAGACAACATAAAAATTCCCTGTCGGGAATTGAACCTGTCACCTCCAGACGGGTCTGCGCCTTGCCATGAATACAAGTGCACTAAGATACATGGTCAACCAGGCACCCCCCAAAAAAGGTGTCTTATTGGCCATGTCTATCGTACAGCTTGAAAATCCACGACTGTGGAGTACAGACAGAATTCATTTCAACCCATTGAAATGGCACCATAGGTTACAGAAATTTATATTAACGAAGCAAATGTTGAATAACAATCACAGCAACAATTTACGAACACAGTAGACCTTATTGCTTTGTCTAGAATACACAAACATTTAAGAAAGGTATTTGATTGGTAGGTTCAGATGTGTATACGTCATTCCGATAAATAAACAGAGGGGGAAACCATTTTATTTATTTGAGTCCCAGGGGGTTTAGCATCACAGGCCCAGAGGGTTGTAAATAGAGTTGTAAAATCGGCGCACCATGAGTTTATTGGGCTTCTGGGTAGGAACCTATGAACGTATGATGCTTTTCCTTGGGACTCGAAGAGTTAAATGACATTCTCCTGTCAAATGTAATTCCCAGATACTTCAGTTTGCTCTCTCTTTTGACGTTTCTACCATCTAGCTGTGTGTTCTGGGAAGTGTTTGGTTTAGTGCGTGTAGGATAGATTGTCTGTCACAGGCTAGACAGATATATAGTTACTAGAACAAGCTACCTTTGGATTTCACTTTGTCAGCTCTGGTATTTTGCAGTTCTGGAAAGATTTGAAAATTTATTTAAAAAGATTGTGTGTTGTGAGTGCAGTGTATATGCAAAGCCTCATGTTATTTTGCAGAATAAGCAGCTAGGAACTGCAGGAATTCAGAATGCAAATCCACCTTTAATACCTGCTTTTGGGATTCAGGTAAAAACTGTCAATTCTTTTTTGGTACTTATAAAATGTTGTTAATTAAAAAAAAAATTTGTTAATCTCTATTGAGGCAAATTATTGTTAATCTCTGTTAAAGCACCAATTGCCTAGTGTTTTTTATATTTGTGTTTGAAACATGTCATGCAGAATTAATTAGCTGAGATAGGCGTGCAGACTGCAGGCCTGCTGAAATGTTCTCTTAATTTCATATGGATGATAGCTTGTACACATTTGTATCACCTGGATTGCATTTAGATAGAACAAACATATCTTTCTCCAGCTCTTTGTTAGGCACAAAGTGAAAGCTGATTATAGGTAATCTTCACAAGATACATGGACTGCATTGTTTGATGTATGCATAAATTAAGTGCAAAAAGTGGTATCAAATCATATTTTTATCACATCGGATGAATCTAATAGGTTTTCTCAAGCTTGACATTCATAAATTTTTTCCTCCGTCTGCTCCAACTGTCTGTCTACAATTTTTGCTTATTTAGTATATGTTTCGGAATTACTTGTTTTCTTGTAAGACAATTACAGCTGGGTAGCTGTTAAAAACCTCTGTCTCATTCATCCTTGAATGAATAATTTTAAGTTAATTCTCAACCAATATTAACATTGTTTGTTTAAGCAGACAAAATTTCAGTTTGCTTCCTGTTAGAAAAGATGTGAAAACACTCTATCTGTGCTCATATACCCACACATGTACGTGCGAGAAAAGCACCGCATATGCCCAGCACACCATTAAACAAAGGAAAAAAACCATTGAAGAAAAGTTGGTAAATTAAGATTTCTGCTTTAATCAGGCTATTTTTAGTGTCAGAACCCTGTTTGTTCAGTAGTGTGGTGGTGCATACCATAGAGATGGTGTGTATAGGCAAGACCCAGAGTTAATGGACAGGCCAGCACAGTGGAAGCACGACTTTCTAGGTATGTGTTGGAATAGCTAAGGGAAACTATCACTCATTTCGATCTAATTATGACGGCGATTAAGTGCTAAAAATGTGAACACTCTTCTGGTGGGACCATGGTTGCTGCATGGTCCCAACTGAGCGAACGGATTGTGACAAAGGCCACAAAGTGTTGGGGTAAAGAGGGCATTAGTTTTTCAGACAGTGGACAGAAGTCATGAGATAGTTTGAGACAGAACTTATCATGTTATAGGAATATTTTTGTGACCGAATAGATCATAAAAATGTGTTTCATTAGGATAGTGTAGCTTCTTTGTGGTGTGTAGCACCCGACGGTGGCAGGTGTTTTTGTCTTACAGTCTTCTGTGAGTAGCGCTCAGGTATTCAGATAGTTAGGGTTGATTTTGAATGGTTAGTGTGGTATCTAATTTTGGCATACTGACCCTTCAATTTGTGGACACTGCGCGATTGATCCTGGTAGGGTCCAGGTGCATTCGAATAAGAGCTTTGCGGGAGCAGTGTGGGGGAACCTGAGAATTATCCTCGGGGATGGGAGGCGTGCTTGGCGATTAGTAAAGTAGGCACGACCAGGCGTCTCAGATAAGGGTGCCTACTTCTTACGACGTTAACTGTCTTATGTTATTCTGTTATTATTCATTAAAGATTGTTCTGGTAAGTGTTCGGTTTAGTGTGTGTAGAATAGATTGTCTGTCACAGGCTAGGACCATAAGCCACATACCAGCAAGGTCGATCAGAGGTTGGTGACATTTATATGTTATCAAAAGATATTTGTCAACAAGATTGCTGCATTTTATTGTTTTGCTTGAGCTTGTTTCAGGCACTTCCTCCCTAATATATGCTATTTTTTAAAAATAGTCAATGCCGTGTGGCATTGTTAATCGGGTCTATCTAGCCTCTATCCCGCCGCTGCAGTGTACTCCAATTTTCTTCATCTGCTGACATGACTGAAAAAATGTGTCAGTTTTGTTTCATTACCTTCATTACTGTTTTTATCTGTCCAGGGTTTTTTGATCATTCAGATCAAGAGAATTGTCCCATTTGCTTTGATAATGCATTCTGGAGATCAGTTTCTTTATAGTTACCTTACTTTTGTGGGTTTTTTTTTCTGCCATTCAAACAAAGATGCTTAAAATGGTTATTCGGAAATGCAATCTGACCTGAAATAATTGATCTGGCGTATAATCCAAACCCCCATATGAACAGAAGACAAATTTGGGAAAAGGTACTAAGCAGCTTGAAATTGTGGCAAAGAGAAATTTTCGTAATGGAAATGATTTGCAACATATGAGACAGGAGGTCATAAACAAACATGATCACCAGTACCATATACAGTAATATGCTTGGTTTGTAGTGAGTATATGTATCAGTCAAAATGATATCTATGTTTCAGATGCCTGCAGGACATTTGTCAAGTTCTGGCCTTCCTCAACCTTATGTTCCTCCTGGACTAGATGGATCTGCTGGTAAGAATTATGTGTTGAAATAATTTCTTATAATAAAATTTATCGTTTTTCAATTTTTTTTTGGGTACCTTTGATCTCGTATTCGTTAAAAAAAAAAATCAGGGTATCACACAATGTCAGTATAAGTGGATTTTTTTCTGTTAGATTTTTTTCTGTATGATGCAATTTATCATCATTCTTCAATTCTGTTAAGGGTATTTACTTTTAAACTTGTTGTGTGAGTCAGGTGGTAGCTTCACAATAAAGATTGGCTGCAAGGGATCTTCAATACTGTTCTCTCATCCTAATTAATTTGTACACCCTCTATAACTTATTCATTCATCTCCTAATGTTAATCGTCCAACTTGTGTCATCCTCGACCTCTTGTTCACTTGCCTTCAACTCTCTTTTCTTTTTGCTGTATACTTTTTAGAGGAATTGGAACTCTTCGCCTGCTGCTGAAGATTGCGACGGAGCAATTATGGGAGTGTCCGGAGCGCAGTGATGTAGATTCTTAATTCAATATATTAATCTCGCTGACTAAGTCTACTATCTTAGAGATGGTCGTAGTTGCACTTATTATGTAAGGAGTGTTCGTTTGAAACCTGTTCAGTGGCTTTATTACAAAAGCATAGTTACCTCATACTACTCCCTAATGAAAATAAAGATCATACCAGATTGAATGGTTATGAAATTATTACGTTACAGAATACATTCTGCAAGATTCTGGAAAAGGAAGTGGTGGGCAAATTAAAGGATTACCTTAAGAAGTATACTCTTACCCAAGGGGTTAGGAAGTTAAAGATCAATGAGGGGTGAAACAGTAGTGGTGGCACTAGAATTATAAGATGCATAAAACAGTGTTAGTTATGACATTTTATTGTACACACTTATAGATATCAGAGATCAGTTCCTGGTTCGTCACTTAGATTGCAGCTGTCCTGTATAAATGACAGACTGGCATAGGCTCCTGAAGCTCTGAACCATGTCTCTCACCTGGGTGGACTCCTTCAAGGCAAGAGGCCTGGCACTATAGCTACCTAGCTGGGTTCCAAATTATTAGCACCATATTGATACATTTTGATTTGTGACATGATTTTGGGTGTGTCTCTTTATCTGGTTTCTGTCCTTTAACATGTGAGACCCTACCAGTAGCTAAGCTACCATCAGCATAGCTTTTAAGGTCACTGGAACACTCAAGCCTCTCTACCTCTTCAAGGGGGAAACACATTAGAGAGAAAACAAAGCATTCACTTTGAAGGAGCTTTATTATTTATTTTTTTTGAAAGTTGCGTAATATAAGCACCCAATGGCTTAGGTAAGCACTAAAAGCAGTAAAAAAAAATTGTGGTTGCTTACTGAATCAGGTGTTTACTGTCTTTGGATGGATTCTGGATCACCCCAGCCATTTTCTCAAAAGTCAAAAAAAACCTATGCATGGTATGATAAGCACAGGCTCATTAATAATTGGTCAGTATTTTTCACATGACTGTGACAGGATTATGATCAGCACATGCTATTGCCTGCAATGTGGCACAAATGAGTTTCATGAACACTTCTGATAGCTTTGACACACTAAAAGGTAATTTAGTCACTAGAGCATTGTATGTATAAAACTGTTTTATAAAGTTGTATAAAAATAAACAACTGTAACGGCAGTCATCGCAGTCTTACACAGGTATGCTGACCTGGTCATCTTTGATAAAAAAAAGAAATGAGCAGGGGATCTGTTGGCTTCAATAGAGGAGATGGACCATGAAGGTGAAGGTTAATAATAATGAATGGAATAAGGGATGCCATTTATGCCTCATCAGGTTGCAGGATCTCTCCTGTGTTGCGGCGGTGTTAAGATAAAGCTTGGTGTGGCTTTTTATGTTTGTGAGATGTTGTGTTGTTGTGAATCTATTTCAGGTGCCACAGTCGCCTGTGTACACTTAAGAAGTACTGCAGGAGGAAATGACGATTCTTGAGTATCGAAACTGGGATATTTGTGTATTTCTACGCTCGTTGGCGGTGCCCCTCTCCCTTCCTTCTGCAAGAGAAAGAAAGCACTTACAATGGTCGTAGGAATAGAAAAATATTGCTGTTTCCTTACTTCAGAACCGTCCGTCACTCATGAACATGAAAATAATCACACAGACGAGTGATGATTAGATGAGAGAAAAAAAAAATGGTTAAACCGTTGACAATAAGGAAAGCATGATACCCCTGCAACATAAAAGAGGTCCTGCCACCTGATGAGGTATGAATGGCAAAGAGAGTCACCCGGGAAATGTAAATAGGACACGTTTTTAAATATCCTTGAATTTGGGTTTAAGTGTTCCTGTAAGAAAAGAAGGGCGTTTCCAACCGGCATATTATCAGCATGATTAATATCTACACCTTGTGACATTCCGCAAGGGAAACTGAACATTTCTGGGGTTCACAGGCTTAGGCGCATTTTTTTTTTCAATAATGCTTAAACATTGAGTAGTCATTTATAGCATTTATTGGAGGCTTAATCATTGTTTATAACAATTGTAATTTCACAGGTTTTCATGCATCACCGATTTATACATCTTCACCTCTAGCCAACTTCCATGTTAATCCAGGAGTTATACCAACACCTACTGGAGTTTCATCACAAATAAATCTTAGTGGTAATTATTTTTTTCAAATGCAAATAAGTTTAGGTAATTAATTTATACTGTTTGGTTTTAAAATATATACTATTAATCAAAAGCCACTTTGAAAAACCTTGTTTCAAACCATAAAACAATTCTGATATAAACATACATAACATTAGTGAAAACCACATTTATTGAATTCCAAACTGATATGTCATGCAAAGAAATGGAAACATATATTCAAACTTACTTAATATTTAAGACAGTTCATTCTGATGTGGCAGGAATGCAGTCAGCTGTGCAACATCCATTGACAGGAGGTGATTTGTTGACAATCTTCAACCTAGAACATCCTAGAGGTGCTCAGTTGGAGAAGGTCAGGTGAATGAGCTGGCAAGGCCATACTAATGATCCCGTGTTGCTGCGTAAAGTCATTCACCACACGCATTTGTTGGGGTTGAGCTTTTTTTTTATCATCTTGGAGGATTGCATTACCAATAATGGCCTCCAGAGCAGACTAAACATTTGGTCTCAAGATTTCGTTCTGATATTATGGGCTGGTCAAGTTGCCTTGTATGATGCAGAGTTAGGTCAATTCCGCAGAAGCCTCCCCAGAACACCTACCATAATGATCCACCTCTCAGATGTATCATCAGTAAATCGCTGTCCTGGTCGTCTCAGAACGCGAATTCTGCCATCATTGTAGCGAAATTCATCGCCCAAGACGACTTGACTCCATTGTTGCCTCATCCATCGGATTAGTTTTGCTGTTGTTTAAGTGTTTCTTTTACTTTTCCTTACTTGTTGAATTAAGAAAAGGCTCTCACAACATCCAGCTTATCATACATCACTTCACCACTAAGTGGTGCAGAACCAGCCAGTCTATCTGCTTGCTCATTTCCTAACACGCTGGCATTACCTAGACAAAATATCCAAAGGATGCTAACCAGCCGGGACCTTTGAAGTGATGCCTGCCACTATGCACCGAGCATGCCTGTCTCCACCTTTCTCAGCATGCTCTGTGATTCAGTTACAATGACTGAATGTGTGTACAGCTAATTCTCAAGCCAGCAGAAGGCAGGTGTGACTGCTTCCACCTCCATTCTCTAACTAGACGTGATATCAAATTCTAGGCTTTGTTGCACAAAGCGATGTCCATTCGCTATGAACCCCCATGCACTTTGTCTGCTCTTCAACACAGAACCATATGTATAGACAATCACATCACCTGGGCGAGAATTTTCATGAATCATTTGTCAAACTTCTTCTGCAGCACCAGCTGGCCAGTCCCTGCACTCACGTCCCAAAGGGATTAGAACCCTACATAAGACAGAAACCTGATCAGACACCTTGACCCACTCCTTTTCTCACCTAAATTTATCAAACCTTCACACATGTCCAGTTGTGTCTTCAGCTTGTGTCATCCAACACCTTTCTCTTATCAATCTGTGACCCTTAGCTCTATCCAGGGCTTCATACAGGATGTGCCTCTTGTCCGCAACTACTCTGAGAAATGACTTTGCTTGCAGAACTTTGAGCCTATCTACAATAGAAGGCAGTGCAAGTATTTATCGTGTACATACTACCGGGGTATCTTTAGTGCATCCCAGAATTACCTGCATGGGTAATTCAAATATTTTAATGGTTTCTGGTGTTATCCGCCCCCCATGTTTCTGTTCTTTCTTGCAAAGGGCTTCTAAACAAGATTCATTCCGAATTGCTGTGATCTGATCCTAGCAGACTGCGTTGCCTTTTCAACTAACTGCTTTTAGTTGATTGGCAGGGCTGCCAATAAGTGCCTGTTCCCCCGTGATCAAGATATTTATATGTCGTCTTTGGTTCACATTTTGCAGCGTTGTTTACTTTGTTGTTTTAGCAGTAAACTTCTGTATGCACAGCTAATCCTTTTGCTTAAGTATTCTACACTAAATCCTTTAGTATTGTTTACAAACTGGAAAACATATTTTTATTATTTCATCAGTTTTAGAAAAATCAACCACTCGTTTGTTTTTCAGTTTTTGTTGTTGTTTTTTTTGTATTCATTTGTATCTCTTTTGAACTGGCTTCAGGTTTTTTTTTTTCTGCAAGAAAAGTATCGCTTTTACAACTTTGAGAACTAGAGCACTAAATGTTTTTGATGGTGATGTCTTTCAAAACAACAGCTTTGGTACTGGTTACAGCTGTGCAAGGCTATTCAACTAAATTTACATATGAGATAAAATTTGGAAAATGGGGATTGTCACTGACCAGAGGCTGGAGTCCTTGCACACAAACATCATTTATACGGTACAGCTTGCAGGGACCATTTATAATAAACTGACACAGACTCCACATTTTTTATGCTTCTTTTCTTTCTCTAGTTTCTTAGAGCAGTTTCAAGAAATTATGACGATGCTTTTTTTTTGGGGGGGGGGGGGGGGACGGGACGGGGTAATTTTTAAAAGAAATGTTACAGACCTAAAGGGTTAATAAATCATTTTACACAGCTTGTATGCTTATAGTAGATTTGTGTATAAATATAATAAATTTAAGAGTACTTATATGTGTTGTGTATCTTACAGGTGGAGTTGGATCTTTACATGATTCACCAGGGCAGGATAAGGTTTGCTACTTGATTATGCTTCATTGTTGACATTTGTTTTTTATTTGTAAACAAGAAACTTATAAGGAGAATAGTGAACTTTTAATTCTTGGTTTTGTGTGTGTGACTAATAGTTTATGTTGATGTGTCCCTTTCTTTGATATCAAATGTGCATACTATGTTTAACACTGTCAGAATACTAGAATCAATATATAAGTATTGAATGAATCCAGTCTTCATATAAGACTACGTGGTTTCTCAGCCTGCAAGCCGGTTCCAACTAGCTCATGTCATGTTTGAAGCTAGATTATTATTTTTATTCTTATTATTAAGCTGCTGGATCTTTTGTTGATTAGGAGAGACGGAAAGACGTTCATCACCATTCATTATTCATCATTAAGTGTATTCAACATTTTAGTCAGCAAACAATTGAGTTGTGTTGTCTTTTGCTGTTGCAGAAATGTACAGTTGTTACTTGTATGTACCAGGACTTGTTGAGACTTTAGTCGTGTATACTAAGACAATTTCATAGACCATAGTCTAGATCAGCGGTTCTGATACTTTTCTCATCGCTGAACCCTAATTGGGCAAGAAAATATTTGTAGCACAGCTACTCTTAAAGTGCTTTAAACAACTTAAATTTTAACTTTTAAGTATCTTTAAGCCTTCTTTAATAATTGCACACTTTTTAGTCTACTTTTCTTGAGAACGGCAGGCCTAAATACTCATTTGACCAGTATAACTGTTGAAGAGAAGTTAGTTGCATATCTTTTACAGGACATTGCAAAACCAACCCCAGCATTTTTTTACTGTCGTTGTTTTTGTAGGCAAATTTCACATATACTAGTTTGCCATTGCCTCTGAACGGTCATCTCTTTGGTACCGCTGTTGAAACCGCAACCCAAAAGACAAATGGTCCGCATCTGAGATTAAACCTGGCATTGAGAAGCGAATTCGCAACACCTAAGCCACAGACAGGGACAGTATAATTTTAACTGAGTTAAATGTGCCAGTTGATGTCACACCATAGGCGGATGTATCGCAGCAAGCCCTAAAACTTGTCAGAAGCTTTGTTTGGATCAAACAAAGTAGCCAGCAGTTTGTATTTTTGTAGGAAAGCATCTTCAGTTTCTTATGCGAGATAATTATTTCAGCCTGTGCCTTTTTTCGACATATTTGCCCTTCATGGATATGCTGGTCAGGCCATCCTTTTCAATGCTGTTGTTTAAGGAGCACCACAAAACACTGGCTTTCTCAGGGTCCACCCTTTACTCAGTCTGTTGACATCACTCTTTCATTTCATACAGTACATTTTTTAAATCTCCAGTCATTTCGATTCTGTCTGACCTGATTTCATAACACTAAGATATCTTCTGCAAATGTGAGGACTTGCCCTGGTCCAGCGGGTTGTATTTTTGCCAGCCTTGCTGTATATATGTTGAACAAGACAGGTGATAGTGGTGATCCCTGAGAAAGGCCAGGGCAAATGCATGTTGTTCCTATCTCCATGTTTCTAAACAAAACACCACTGTTATCTCTAACACTGCTGCTCATTTCCAATTAGCCAGCTATACGTTACACCAGTCAGTCATGCACTGCACAAGATGTTTGAAGTCAACACCATTATGGGTGTCTTCAAGATCTATAGCTACGGCTACTGTTTCTTGCTTTTGCTGAAATCCTTCATTTACATCATATGCAAACATTCCAGCATTGTCCTATGTTGCCTTTGATGCATACTTATTCTTTCTAGGTGTTACTTTACTTTCTTTGCCACTATTCTTTTCCAGCAGTTTGCCATACACATTTTGCAAGGTAATGATTCTTTAACTGCAGAGCTGTGAGTGATCCCTGTCTGGTTTTGGAAATGGTTTAAGATAACGTTGAAACCAGTCATTTGGTACATTTAACGCTTGGATACTATCATTAAAATCCAACAGAATTCATCACTACAAAACTGATATGATCATAGCTTATACTATCTGGCACTGGAGCATTATTTTTGTCTCCATATACTTTTTCTGTCAGATATCTAAGATTCTCTACATAGTTGTGCTTTAACAAAAATTTTCCAAATGCTCTTCTTGGCCTCTCTAGCAAGTTTTTTAAATGTATTAGTCAAGAACTGATATTTTCTCTCCACGTCTTCATTTTTTCATGTTAGTTTTTATTCTTTCTGCCATTCATTCGTAGGAAGTGTTTTTTGCCTCCCAAGCCTTTTGAATCTGTTCATTCTACCACGGTGGTTGCATAATTGTTGTTTTTCATGTCTTCTATCTAGCTGTTTGGCGCAGCAAATCCAATGTACCAACCTGATTTCATTGAACATGTGTTGTGGCTTTACTTGCTGGACAGTCTTTCCCTTGGTCTAAATATGTGTTGAATTCTACCTTTCTGTAATGGTTCACTGAGAGGGATCATGTCACTTGCCTAATTTTTCATAGTTTTTGCTTTATGAATTTGTAGACCTTATCAAGTGTATTTAATATTTTTTTCTCAATATTATTGACTTTATATCTGATTCTAGAAGTCTGCTTGGGGAGAACACAAAGCACCAGATGGCCGTACATATTACTATAATAGTATTACAAAAGAATCAAGTTGGGAAAAACCTGAAGAATTAAAAACACCTCAAGAGGTATGTTGGTTGACTTAAAATTCTGTGATTGTGTATTTTAACATGCAGTGGAGTTTTTGTTTTGTTTTAACATGCAATGTTTTTGTTTTGAACTAGATTACATCATCAGCTAGTTAAATAATGAGACTTGTGTATTAAAAAAAACTGAACAGTTTCGATAAAACATGGCTTTTATTCAGAGTAATACCTTTTTTTAAATCAATACAGCATGTTGCATAATCTGAAAATACTGCAGTGACCTTTGCGAGTCTGTGTGTTATAGCCCTTATTACAGATCTTTGGATGTCATCATCGTTGGAGAGGCTCCCTTTCAGTGATAACTTTAGTTTTGGATATTAAAAATAACTGCAGTCCCTGGGGACCTCTGGATGACTGAGAGAAATTGTATGGCTTTCTATTGATGACGATGGTTTCCATTTGACAGCAGTGTCGCTTAGTTTTGGAGTTGTTACAGAAACACATTTCATTCTGTGCAGCAGTTAAATTCAATTTTTTTTTGGGGGGGAGGAATTTGTTAAAAGTCTTATCCACACTCAACCTGCACATTTTGTCTTGTCCAAGAAATTGAATGTGGGGTGCCAGTGTAACTTATACAGCCACTCAAAGAATTCTATTGTGCAGTTTTTAGCAAATTATATATGTATAGAATATTGCATAAGTTTTATGTTGATTATGTCTAGAAATATGGAAAATTGTAAGTGCATGGTCTATTCGAAAATCAACCTCCAATTGACTTGTGAAAATCAACCATATGCCAAGCGACAGTGTTCATTGCTTGCATAATTCAGTAGTCTTTTAGCTCACTGCTCATCCATCTACAGTCGCATTTATTCAGTGGTTCAAGAATCGTGAACGAAGACTAGTTATGATTTGTTTTATCTAAGCAGAAGGTCAAAATGCCAGATTCATCTTCGATTGAGTCGTGTGTACTGTGATAAGATTATGATTGATAGTTCTGTGAGGGACTAGTGCAGAAAATTCAGATGAGTGTAAAGATGTGCGTGATGAGGGTGGAAAAGAAGACATTCATGTTTGACAGATGAGCTCATTCAAAAATTCAACAAAGTCATAGTGTAAAAGCCTTTTTCAGAATTTTAGATGAAATGAGAAACAGATAGACTGAGGAATTTAGGTCGTCCAAAAACCAAATGGGAGATATAATGGCACAGTGGTTGATGATAATGTTTGAATTGTATTCATCAGAGTACTCTTTTTTTCTATCTTTCACAATTAGAAATTACTATCTCAGTGCCCTTGGAAGGAGTATAAGTCTGATGCCGGAAAAATTTATTACCACAATGCAGTAACAAAAGAGAGCCGTTGGACCAAGCCTAAAGAGTTAGAAGATCTTGAAGGTTTGTAGTAACAAGATGTAATTCAGTCAGCTAATGTGCCCATGTCTTTTACCATGTTTTATGTCATATAGTTTTACAATTGATTCTGATGGATACTAGCCAGTAGTTACACCAGAATGCTGATGCTCGGCATGGCACAACATTGTATTCTTCAGAACATTATGTGTGAAGATATGCATCCTGTAATTCAGAGTGAAAAACTGATGTTTACAATCAACAATTGTTGACCATGTACATAACAACCATTTTTTTCTTTAAAGATTTTTTAGGCAGACATAATATAAGCAAGGCCTTCTTGAAAGTTAAATTATGCGTCATATAGTAAATCTGTTACATAATGTGACGTCCATCTTAGCTGAGAAGTTTGAGTTTAAAATCAGCAACATTGTTGACCATGTGTCCAACAATGATTTATCATTAACAGATTTTGTAGTCACAGTTAGAGCAATGACCTCAATACCTATTGTTGAGGAAGAAAGGGCTAGTATTTCAGACTTGAAAATATGAAAATATTACCTTAACTCTTTGAGTCCCATAGGGGGTTTAGCATCACAGGTCCAATGGTTAGTAAAAAGAGACTAAAATCGACACATTATGCGTTCATTGGGCTTCTAGGTAAGACCTATGAACGTATGATGCGTTCCCTGGCACTCAAAGAGTTTCATTTTGGAGCAAACATGGCCAAACTATTTTAAAATCTGACTTTCTAATTCTCAAATATCAAGGTGTAACCTATAAAAATAAACTTGGCTTACTTTACAGTTTTACTTGAAAGCTAAATTGTGCAACAAATATTTGGTCTGCTGCAGAATGTGATGTCAATCTGTTGGCTAAATAGGAAGCCTCTCAGTCCTTGAAAATGACCACCTTGTTCTAACTGGTTTGACTCACTCAGCAGGGACTGAGCTGTGGGTCTGGATTACACTCACTGCACAAAGAAAAAGAATCGGATTGCGACTGGCACCGTCAGTCAAATATTAATTTTAAAAAATACAATTAAAATAGTGCAGAATTGTATCTGTCCTGATAAATATTTGCTGCTTATAATTTCCATTCTTAGAATACAATGAATCTTAGTTGGCTTGTTTAAATTTTATTCAGCTTTCACATGATTTGCAGTGTTTGCATTCTGCCAGTATTATGCTGCTCTGTAGGGTTCAATTAGGCACAAAATTGCAAGGACATGAGCATGCATGACTCCCACTGATAATTGGCGATACAAATTCAGCAATACTCTTAACCTTTTTATGCTGCAAAAATGTTTACAAATGAAGTTTTTTGACCAAATTTTTAAAAGGGACCATATTGTTATAATTCTTTAAAATTCCATTATAAGAAACAAGAGGAGAATAAGAAGCAGAAAGTTCAGTTTTTATAAAATTCCACGGGATTAAAACCTATGAACACCAAGCAGGTAGGCAAACCTGCCAGCTATTTTGCCATCATGGCCTCCAAGTTACTAAAAAGATGGATTCTTCATTTTCAGAGTCATTATTTTTCACATTTGCGATGTTTGTGAAGGAAAGTAATACAAATGGAGCAGAGAAACCTAACTGCTTTCCCTCCCTTTTAACCAAGAAAAACATGAGTTTTGTTGACATAGCTACAGGGAGCAAAATGACCTCACTGTGAAAACAAGAATTTTGTCCACTCAAATAATATCTAAACATATTTAAAAAATAATTACATATTTATAAGTAAAGCCTTATGCAGTCATTGCAGAACCTAGAGCCTCAGGTTTATAATTAAGATCTGCAAAAAGTTATCCTTTGAGCAGTGGTCACTATGCCTGTAAAACAGCATTGATGCTCTTGAAATTGCATGGTGTGTAGCCGTGGTGGGTATGAACATATTTACAGCAACAAAAACAAAAAATTCAATATCATCTGTCAACAAAATTGATTTTTTTTTGAGAGATGAAAAGCTTAGCTTAGCTTTTAACTGTTATGATAATGACAGTTTGAAAAGTTATCTCATCATGAGTTCAACAAATAACAGCACTGTTAAGAACACAATTTTATTTTTCCATTTACCTGGGTAAACTTGCAGCTAAATTTCCTAGTGCCCATATTAGTTTAACAGGTATAGTGCTGTTTCATCTTAAAAATGAGCTACTACCATATGGTCACTTGTCTTGTAGCAAGATAATAATGTCCTTTACTTACTATTAACAGGTAGCATAGTATAGTCTAGTAAAATAAGCTGAAAAACATTTCTTTTTGTCTGCATAGTTCTGGACAAGGCCACCTGAAAGCTGACGCTTCCGCATATATTAGTAATTTACGGTTGGCTCAAGTGTAAATAATTCAAAATGCCTCATCCTTGTTTATTATGTGGCCAGAAATTAGAATAGAAGATGGCATGCAATTGCTGTTGATGGATTTTATCCACCACTCCCCTGATTTTTTGTTGTTAGTGTTCTGCATTGCTTTTACCACCCATAGTGGAATGTGTTCAGCGGCCAATTTCTCTAGTCGTCAATCATTCCTGTGCACATATGCAGCATAACATGTGCATTTAAATTGGAGTGTGATATGTCAAAGTAGAGTAAGAGGAGATGCAATATTTATTGATTTCCTAATATTACATTTTAAAAAATTTCTTTCTTCAGTGGTTGCTGCTACGCCACAAATGTGAGTATTTTTGTATAGACCATTTTTGTATACCTTATTAAGCCTATAGTAATTTTATTGTGTGGAAGTGGTACTAAAAATCGTAAAGTGCTCTTGCATTAAGTAAAGTTAGTTGTGTATTGTTTACAGAACGTTGCAGAACCAGCCCTATAATTTTTTGGCTGTGTGGTTTTTCTAGACACATTTTACTTCCATAGTTTGCCATTGCTTTATGAATGGTCGATTCTTGGTATCACTGTCGAAACCAGTGCAAGACAATTCGTCCACAGCTAGGATCAAACCTGACACCATGGCATTACGAAGCCACAGAAGCCGCATATCTTCTACTGATCCATATAACCTGCTTTTTTTTTGGAATGCCAGCCAACCAGACCTAAGATCTGTCTACTCCATGTAGAGACTATGTCTAGCACACGTTCAGTATTCTGTGGTGCCTGTCCACATGGGCAAATGTTGTGAATCCCTGGTGTTAAATTTGATTGGCATATGTCCAGTGCACAATTTAAATGTACTGGTTTCTTTCATGTGAGGTTGATTGGGTCTTCAGGATTGTGTCTTGTATGGAAAGTGTTCCAGTGGATTCTAATGGCTGCCTTGATGTGAGTTTTATTTTCTGAGAAAAACCTGTAATATAAGAAGAAAGGTTTTTTGGGTCTAAAACCTACATAGCAAGAAATCTAGATTACAGAAACATGTGAACAGAATTAGAGAGAGGTGAATTATATGTTGTGGACATGGCGAGAGTTATAGGCAGTGGCGTTGGGTAGAAACTCGTGCGAGGAAACATGTGAATAACATAAAAAGAAAGTTGTCTGAAATCCCCATGGCAAGTAATGCCAAGAACTTGGAATTAAAGACAGGTAAATTCTTTGTGGTGGACATGGATAAAGTTGTAAGAGATAGTAAATTAAAGTTGTAAATTTATCAGGTTCTGTCTTCACAACTAAGTATGGTGGCAGTGGATCTGCAACACCTAATTTGTTGCTCAAGTTGTTCACTCCTTGAGATGACTGCTTCCTCCCTTTCTTTATGTTAGCCATATTTGTGTCACTGTTTACCTTTTGCTTGGTTGTCTTCGTTTCCCTCCTGTATAGTTTATGTGAGTCTGTATTATGTAATTTAACCTTGTCTCCCAAAGAAGCTGCAAGGTTGACACTTCTGGTTTGGCCCCAATCCCTGAATATGTCATTTTTATCGACTTGGTTATTGGGGCTTAGCTTACAGCAGTGATCAAATGCACCTGTGCAGTCATTCAGTTGGAGTGGCATCACTTTACTAAATATAGTATTTGTGGGGGGGGGGGGGGGGGAGCATTGTGAACAAATGGCTTTTTAAATACAAATTATGACAACATGGTTTCCCAAATACTAAGTGTTGCCCGCTGACCAGGTTAGTAAGTCAAGTATACGACACTATCCATTTCTTTTAATGGTAGCATATAGGTAAGTTAGTTAATTCTCTGCTGCATTAGTATTTACTGTTAACTCATCTTTTTATGTATGGAAATTAATATTGACTTGGTCCAAAAATGGAATTTTTGTATGTGACCTATGTAAGATGGGTTAAAAAAAAATTGGTGTGGTTTTTTTTTTTTACAAAAATACAGGTCACTGGCATTGTTTTTTCTGTAGGAAGTCAAAAGCTACACTATCATGATATATGCACATGCAACCAGAAAGGCACAAACATTGACAAAGATACTTGAGAGATAGCATAGCAGTCTATGGAGGCAAACAGTGAAAAAACAGGCTGTTTGACTTTACCTGAGTCCTTACGTGTCAAACTAAATAAAAAGGAGACTTCTGAGAAAAAACCTTTATGGCAGGGACTGCCACTACCACATAGGACTTCCCAGTAATAGACGCTGTTGTTCCAAAAACCAACAAAACAGCTCTATGTCCCTAGGGACTGTTGCCTACTAAGCTGAAATACTTTGTATTAAACGCTGTAATAGTTTAAAGAAAATGGTAGTGGAGGGTAAGATTCCTGAAAGAAGAGGCAGGTATTGTCTAGTATGATGGCGGTTACATAATATCAAGGACCTGAAAATTAACTAGATGGGATTGTTAGTACTTTAAACTGTTTCACTAACATATATGATTTATCTTTTGTACATAAATAATTTAAGTAGTAGTTAAAACCATTAACATTTTTACATTGCTATATTTTTTATCCATACAAAATAATTTGTCACAATATTCTTAATTGTATTTATCCAATGGTGAATAGTCTATCCAGTTTGCCTGGTAAACCAGAACCATCTTCAGCAATTGAACAAGCCATGCAGGCCACGTTAGCTTCTATTGAATTGCCTCCACCTCCATCAGCTATACCAGTACAACAGCCATTGCCAGATTTACCAGTGGAAATGAAAAAAGAGCCTGTGTATGTATACATTTTTTTAAAGTTCCTTTTGTAATTTATATTTAAAAAAATTGCTTGAAACTCCCCTTTTTAAACAAAGTTTGCATTGACCTGTAAGCTTGAGTTTGCAATTTAATAGGTTTTTAACTCTTTTAGGAACCAAGCTTATTAAGGCACTGTACCTCCTGAGACATTGGAAAGATATTTGCAAAAATGCTAAACTAAGACCTAGACTAGTATTAGAACCCGATGATTGTAGCAGACCTTTAAACTGGTGAAAAAACCCTGGGAATGGCAAAACACATTTTTCGTTTATGGTGACCACAGAGTGGAGATTTTTCTGCAGTAACCCTCAGTTCATTATATGTGCTACATCCAGGGTTAGTAGCAAGCCTTGAAACCTTGAGAAAATTCATGATTTTTATGAAAACTGACGAAAATCATTGAACTTTACAAACCGTAAGTTGGACATGGATAACCAAAGGAGAATTTCGTGAGATATTCAGCAATCAGGTATTTTGCAGTTTCATGGTTTTTGTAGATACGCTGTTGAAACTGATCATCAGTAAACTGCGGGCAAGATTGTGGGCTACTGTCATTTTTCGTGTGTGCCAGCAATCTGTGAGCAGCAAGCAGTATGCGGTTCACGGTCTCATTGTTTGATTTGTAGGGTGGGATATGGTGCCGAGTGAGCTGTCTTTGCCAGAGTGAGTATCTTTGCCCGTCTGTTCTCTCACACCCTTTCAGTTGGCATAGCAACGTCAGCTGGTAAATGGTGCAGAACATAACCCCCATGGACATTTAATATATAGACGATAGTGCTATATTGCGCTGTGAGGAGGCATAAGACTCACAGCCCATGATGGCTATGTGACTAGCATGATCAAGAAAAGTCTTCCACAATGATACGCATGGGTTTTCAGGCTCAGCTCTCATCCTTTCCGTAATCATTTCTTCCTTCAGTCTCATTCCCTCCTGATATGCCCTCTCCACACAACTCAGTCCATGTCATTTTGTTCCCATGAGTCCGCCTCAATACCTGCATCATTCATGTCCCACTTGCACACATCTTTATAACGTAACAGAGGTCAGCCTCGACATCTTCTTCCTGTCTCTAATTCACCATAAAGGATGTCCTTAGGGACTCTGCCATCCTCCATTCTCCAGGTGTGACTCAGCCACCTGAGCCTTCGTAGACTGAGCATGGAAAAGACTGTTGTAGTACCTGCTCTTTCCAGTACCTCAGTGTTTGTGGTTTTGCCCTGCCACTTAATGCCAAATATTCTGCTTAGGCATCGCATGTGAAAGCCATTAAGCCGTCTCTCTTAGTGCAAATAGGTTGACCAAGTTTCACTGCCATAAAGCAGAGTGCTGAGAACACAAGCCTGATAGACAAGGGTTTTTGTTTTAATTGTGAGCTTTATGATCTCCCAAACTCTCTTTGTCAATCTGCTCATTGTTGTTGCTGCCTTACCTATCCTGATGTTGATTTCTTGGTCCAGCCATAGTTTACTATTCACTGTAAAACCAAGATAGGTAAAATGGTCTACTGTCTCAAGCTCTTCACCATTAATGTAGACTAGGTCTGTCATTGACACCTTGCACCATAACCTTTGTCTTCTTTTTGCTGACTGTTAGTCCAAATTCACAGCATGCAACAGCAAAGGCAGATAGTAAACATTGCAACTCCTCCTCTGAGTGGGTGGTTATTGCGGCATCATCAGCAAACAGCAGCTCTCTGATAAGTACCTTTCTTATCCTGGTTTTGGCCTTCAGCCTGCGTGCATTGTAAAGGCTGCCGTCAGATCAAGAAAAATTGAAAATACCACCCTCCTGATCTCGAAAGGCATGTTTCAGAAGAAGTGAAAAGTAAATTCCAAAGAGGGTAGGTGCAAGTACACACCCCTGCTTCACTCCATTTTTTATTAAAAACTCATCCAATGTTACACCATCAAAATTGATTGTACCTTTCATACCTGTCCACGACAGTGGACACCCAATCTTCTTCAGTGCGTTGAACAGACCTATTCGACTAACCAAATCAAATGCCCTGGTAAGATCAATAAAAGCAACATACAGTGGTTGATTTTGATTGCGGCATTTTTCCTGCATCTGTCGTAATGAAAATATACCTGGGGTAGATCGGTTTCCACGAAAGCCACACTAGGACTCTGGGTAAACGCGATCCCCCAGGATAATTCTCGCGAGCACTTTTCTAACAGTACACAGCAGTGATATTCCCCTGTAGTTACTACAGTCACTTCGATCACCCGTGTTCTTATAGTTATGATGTTTGCATCTTTGAAATCTTGCGGAACCTCTTCCTCTTGCCAGCAGAGTGTTATTAGCTGATGGGTGTGTTTTGTTAGAATGTCTTTCCCACTCCTGAGGATTTCAATAGAAATTCCGGCTCTCCTTTCAACTACGGCCGGTAGACAACAGTAGACGGCCGGTAGACAACAGTAGACGGCCGGTTAGTTGTTCTGTCCCCTTGCTGCAGTGCAATCACGGAGTGGAAAGGAGGAAACGAAACCAATGACATAATTATTGTGTGTTGGCGATAGACAGCGTACACTGCCCTGCTATAATCATACGGTGTGGGTTAGGGTTACGGTTAGTCTTCACACAAACTCATAGTAGCAACCCAAACCCTACCCCTAACCCAAACCCTAACCGTATGATGACAGTAGGGCACTGCACGCTGTCTATCGCCAACACACAGTAATTGTGGCACTTATTTCGTTCCCTCTATAACACTCCGTAATGCGTCACAAGAAGCGGTAATTGAACGCGGTCGCTAATTTGAGTCGCAGCGAGGGGTCTGCCAGGCATGTCGACGTCACTGTGTGTTCTGATTCGTGCCTTCTCCAGTCCGTAATTGCACTGCAGCCAGGGGGCAGAACTCCGACTAACCGGCCGTCTACTGTTGTCTACCGGCCGTAGTTGAAAGGAGAGCCGGAATTCCATCTCTGCCTGGGGCTTTCCCTGAAGCCAATTCATCAATAGCATTCCCAACTTCTAAAACTGTTGGAAATGTTCCCAGATAGTCAAGAGTTGGTAGCGTCTCCATAGCATTTAGAGCACCATCTGCTAGTTTAGTATCAACTGAGTAAAGCTCTAGATAATGTTCCACCCATCTGACTAGCTGCTGCTTCTTGTCAAATTCTTTAGTGGTGCACTTTTTTTTTTATTGTAGGACCGATGGCTTTCTTGATTCCCTCATACATGGCTCTAACATTACCAACACTGCTAGCATTTTGAATGCTTTCACATAGCTGGATCCAGTAGTTATTAGCACACTGCCTAGCTACCTTTTGCAAATGATTTCTAGCTGCTCTTAATTCAGTGAGAGTTCCTTGTTCTTTCCTTGTTTCTGAGGAGTATTGCCTTTTTGCTGTCAATTAAAGGTTGGAGTGTCTGGCTATTTGCTTCAAACCAGTCCTTCTCTTTTCTCTAATCCAGTAGACTGATACAGCTGTTTTGTAAACAGTCTCCCTAATGTCATCCTATTTTAGGCTTGCTGTAGAGTTATCCTGGATATCAGTGAAAGCATCTTTAAGCTGTTGTTGAAACTCAGAACACTTTCAGGGTTTTTAGTTTTGGAAATATTTAACCTAGGGATTTATTTATTTTTTGAAGTGAAAATTCTCTTTGGTTTCGTCTGAACTCTTGCAGCAACTAGGGAATGGTCGGTATCACAGTCAGCACTGGTAGCTGCAAGTTAGTGATACACAGTTCAAATGCTGCCTCCTTGTGAGAATAAGGTCCAGCTGGTGCCAGTGGCCAGATCTTGGATGTTTCCATGACACCTTATATCGGTCTTTAGTTTTGAAAAAGGAGTTTGTGATGCACTAGTGCAGAATTCCAGTAGTCTCTGCCTATTTTCATTCATGTGGCCAACATTATATTTTCCAAGACAAACTGGCCATGAGTTTGAGTCTGACTCTACGCTAACATTAAAATCACTAAGTATATAGATGCTGTCAGATTTAGAAATTGATTTCACTGTGTTATCTAGTTCCTCATAAAGAGAGTCCTTTGCGTCTTGTGCTGACGTTAGAGTGGGTGCAAATGCAGTAACAAGGGTAATAAAACCGCTTGAGGTAGACAATCGTAGGGATAATATTCTGTCACTTCTTCCAGTTGGACTCTCAACTGATCCTAACAATGAATTCTTTACTGCAAATCCCACTCCATACATCCTGATTTCTTCCTGGCCTCTGCCTTTCCAGAAAAATGTATAGTAATTTTCTCTAATAGACCCATCCTCTGGCAGACAGGTTTCTTGTTAGCCAGCAACATCTATGTCAATTTTGTTGAGTTTGGCATCAATGATAGCCGTTTTTCTCACATCATTAATGTTTTCCAGGTTACTGGAAAACCCTGGACACATGGTCCTCACGTTCGAAGAGCCAAGTCGAAGCTTGGGGTTATGTGTCTTTTTATTGCCCGGTGCATTGGTTTTACAGCCTGCAGTTAGGATTTTGTCCTAGCTCCAAGCACCCATTGAAGCATACAAGCTGTGGCGGATCAACACCTTATTGGCTAGGGGCCACCCAGCTTAAGGTGGGTGGTAGTTGATCAGTGACATTCGAAGATGTCTTCCACCGTCAGAGGTAACCCGTGGCGCCCCTGTCTACGCCAACTGACAAGGACTTATATAATCCGTAACTGCTGCCTCTCGTTTTGTTTCCAAGACCGATTAAGGCCAGGAATAAAGTTCCTCCTCTCCATAGCACAAAGCCTGGTCAGTATTGTAGAGACCATATGTTACCCATGCATAATGATCCCTCCCTCGACCTGCCTTGTTTACTCCAAAGGAGTAAAGAAGTTTTACTCTGTAAAACCAGTACGTTTAGAACGAGGCAGGTTGCAGAAGCTGCTGGATCAGAAGAGCAGTGCTTTATCTGTCCGCCTGTCAGAGCTTCTCTCCTAGACCAGCTGCCAGCAAAGGCAAAGGGCCTGGTCTGCAATGCCACAACACAAAGTTTTCAGATTGCATTTCCTCTTCCTAGGATAAG